ATGCAAACCAGCAGGCACGCACACACACACAGACATGGAAATCACAGCAGAATGCGGGAATTTCAACAAGGCATTCATTCCGGCGGCAAATCCCAGAAATCAGCAGTGTTCTCAGTCTGTGTTTTTGGCAGGTCATTACACAGTAGAAGAGGGATTCCGACATTGATTCTGGTTCAGCCATTCGACATTATTATTATTATTTTTTGTTTGAATAAGAGGGGAGGAGATAAGGAGGAGGATAGTGGTTGGCGAAGAAGAAGGGAATTATCATTGGTCTTTTCTGGTGTACATCATCTTCTTCTTCTTTCTTTCTTCTTTTCTTCTTCTTTCCCTCTGTCTCCTCTGAAGTTCATTCATTTCTTTTTGCAAGTGGACGACATTGTACTTTCTCATGAATGTGTACTTCCGAATTGGCCAGGGTCATAACAGACCCTAGTTCAAACTCGACTGGAAGCAAACGAGTGAAAAACTACAATTCTCAGTTACCAAGGACCAGTCAGTTCGAGATGATCTCTCAAGGCCATGGCCCTTTATTAAAAAAAAAAAAAAAGAGAATAAGGGGAGAAAAAAAAAGAATGTGCGGTCATAGTAGTTGTACTCAGTGCAATTAGTCTATGGATACAGCGATAATGACCATATGTTCTATTCGGGGAAAGACGGACCAGACGGTAGCACTCCCAGTGTCCCAGATGCCCCACTTGGTGTTCGTGTGTCCCAGAGACCCCACTACTGTCTTCCCCCGAATAGAACATATGGTAATTATCACTGTATGTAGACTAAAAGTTGCCCCAAACGCAGGCACAATTACCGTACTTTCTATTTGGGGGACGATGGTAAGCGCTGGTGTACAATGTGTCCAAGTTGTGTCTCCCCTTCTCTCCTCATCCACCATAGCTTTCTGTCTGATTGCCAGCGAAGAAACACAGGTGCCTCTTGGGCCAACACTAGCCATGTATTCTTGCCCCTCTTGGGTCAACGTTAGCCGCGTACCACCATAGACCGGCTCGCAGGTGCCTACTGACTTCTTGCCCTTTGACGGCCTCTTGGGCCTATGCTACCGTCTTCTCCTGAATAGAATGTACGGTTATTATAGCTGTATTTAGCACAGCCAGCAGTCCAGATGCAGCAAAAATGGACCGTACAGAATATTCCGATGACAAAGGTAAGCCTCCTACAGCCAAAGCCCGGTAGCAGCAGCCGAAAGCCAGCACAAGCGCACGAGTCTTCTTCAGCAGTCAAGGAGTGCAAGTGTGACTTCCGTCCATTTGTGTTGAGGCAGCATGGGCGCATCAACCAGTGTGTCTTTAACTGGACTGGCTGGCTGTATATATTGTTGGCTGGACAGTCAGCTGGCCTACGGGTCTCGCTAATCTTCCTTAGGTGTCAAATGTGATGCCATACCTGGTCGTTTAAATTGGACTTCCATCTTTATCAAACGAGGAGTTTACTAAGGTCAATGTAGTGAACTTTGTGGTACCAATCACGCCTTTATGCCTATTGTAGTGGAAGCTGTCTTTTTCAATGATTATGTTTGCTGGGTGTCTAATAAATCTCCGTATCATTCCAATTTTAATGGATGTCCTGAAGGATGGTCAGCCGGCCTCTGGGCCCAAGCTCTGGGCCCAATCTTGAGTACTGTGTGGGCGCATGTCGCCAGTTTGCTGTTTCGCTGTTTGCATGCATGACAAGTGTGAAGAAGTCGAGTCTGATTGCACTGGTATCAGAGAAGGTACCCGCTGTTCCACGCGCGCGAGGTGTGCAGGGCAGATGTGCCATAGCTGAAGTTACCGCCGGAGGAGGCAGTCCGCCATAGCGGACCTCGAGGTGGAAGAAGAC